TCTTATAACCTCTCATAGCCTCTTACGGTGCGCACTAATAAGTTACGTTACTTATATATATTAAACTTCGATTTTACCCCGCACTATTTTAAATCCCTATTACGTTCAGCTTTTATAATTATTACCTATAACTATTAGAACGGTTAAGTTTATTAGTATTTAGTTTAGGAATTAAGTTTATACTTTATATTAAATAAACATACTAACTAAACCTATAGATATAGTTATCTAAAAAATCTAAAGTTTACCTAGGTCTAAAACGTATATCTATCTTAAATTAATTATACTACTAATTATTATACCTCATAGCTTAATAAAAGCGTCTTATTAATCCGTTTAAGCCTTACTATATAATACTTTCACTAGCCCCCAATTTAGTAGTCCGTTAGTAAGTACCGGCTCCTTAGTATATAACTTTTACTAACTACTATTAGTAATACCTTTTCTAGTCTTAAATAGTATTTAACTAAGGAGAAGATATTCCTTACCTAACGGGTTCTCTAAGAGTATTCCTTATTAATATATATATTTCTTAGTAATATCTATCTAGCTATTTATATTATGCGTAGTAATATACCTTCGTCTCGCCGCTCTACTTATAATAAGTTTAGTATATAAGAAGTCTATCTAGCTCTTAGCTTTATAATTAGAGGTTACTAACTACCGATTTTACTAGGCTACTTTCCTATTTTTAAAAAAAGCTCTTCCTATACTTATTACTTATCCGGGTATATTAATATTAAATATCTCGTAGTTCTTAAATACTAATATTATTATTAATAGATATTACCTTAATCCGGGCTAGATATACTAAGTACGCTATTCTTAACTAAACCTTACTAATAATTTTAACTAATATTTCTAATAAACTATTTCCTAAATACTTATTTATCGTATACTCTCATAATATAGCTTCTTTACTACGGATAAGAGTATACTATAAGTTAATAATCCCTTAAAAATATCTTATACTAACTATTTACTTACTAAAATTACCTTATTTACTAGGGCCCGAGCTAGCTAAGTTATAAAATAAGTCACCTCTTTTACTAATTTAAAATATCGTATTAATAATCTATTACATAGCATAATTACTATTATATTAATTCTACTACTACTTAAATAGCTAATACTAAGGCAGTCTAGTAATTTAGTACCTCGCTTTATTATTAATTACGTAATTAAGGTATAAAAAAATTAGAATTATTATACAATTACTAGAAATTATAGTACGAGGTAAGTAAGTATTTAGGGTATCCCGCGAGGCGTAATAGCGAGGAGTAGTAGTAAAGAGTAGTAAGTAGTAAGTAATAATAGTAATAGGAATTAACTATATTAAAATATAATTAATAGTAGTATAGTAGTAATGTTTATAAATATAAGAATAAGTCGAGCCTTAAGCTACTTAGTAAATATTAATATAGTAATAATTATAGCGGGTATATTATTACGGTATTATATATAATACTATATTATATATAATACTATATTATGCGCAATACGGTATTACGTGTAATATAATACTATGTATAATATAATACTATATATAATATAATACTACGTAAAAAATACGATATTATATTAATATTACGATATTAGTAATAAATAAGTACTACTCTAAAAATAGTAGTGGGTACTAAGTACTTGGATATGGTAAGCATGGGCTACTAATAAATAGGGCTAATTAAATAGAAGCTATAATACGGGCCTATAGCTATTTTTACCCCACCCTATTTTTTTTAATAATACGGGTATAATTTAAATATAAGTATATATATATTAATTACGCTATATTAATATAAAAGTACTTAGGATAGTATACCTAGTATAGTAATACTACTATATATACCTATATTTTTTACTTATTAAGTTTATTATTAGACTGCTATTTTTACTAGTTAATATCTACTTTACTTAATATAGTAGTATATAAAACACTATCTATATATAGTAGTATAAACCTAGCGTCACCTGATATATTACTATGCTAATATAATGTTGTACCTCTTTTGAAAACCCCCCCCAGCTCGCATAGGTAGTGCAGTTGCGGGCGATAGTTCGAGCGTTATTACAATAATCACATCCAGGGCCGTCACTAGTATGCAGCATAAGTAGTTAGGCAAGGTGTCAAGCAAGGCAGAGCTAAGCCCACTGGGGGCAAAATACCCTTGGCAGCTGGAAACACAGGCCTCAAAGGAGTCCGAGTTGACATGCTTGGTGAGACTTGGGTAAGACCTAACCAGGCGGCTGGTCCAACAAAGAAACATGAGCCCACTCGAGGGGCAAGACTTTAAGGGATTCAATTCGCAGGACTTCACGAAGCTAGAAAGTACCGGATGTTTCTCCAACTTTAAATCCGATCAAGGCTAGAATGGTATTGGACATGCGCGATATATGATGAGGTTTGTTCAGTTGTTGTTTCGAACAACTCTGCCGGCGAACGCTTGCACTCACCACCAACCACGGCCCAGCCATGGATTATAAATCTGCCACTTTTTACGATTTACGTAGTCCTACATCTACAGTTCTCTAAGAGCCAAGCTAGCTCGTTTTGTCCCCATGTCCGATAACAAGATCGAAGGGTTCATCTACTTTACTCTTTCGGGGCTCTATGCATCGGGCGTTCCTCTAGACGCAGGCGCGTCGGACAGCTTTCCCGATTCATCACGTTCGCAGCTCGAGCTGAGGCAAAGCCGCCCCCGCGACCGTATCCTTCGAAGTTTGCTACTGGCACGCTGCTGCGATGTCCCCCTTGACTTACGCGACCTTCTTTCGAATCACATAACATGTTCATGGTCAATCTCTAATCGATCTTCTGCTCATGTTCCTAGCAAGGGAGGCATGGCATTTTGCCTCGTGTGCTCTGCTAGACGAAAGCTTTTCACGTTCTTCTCGAACTCCATTGGTTGGGTCGTGAATGGGGCAGCCCGAGCAGTTCACAGTCACACGACGGAATGGAAAATTCAATTATAAATGAAAGGCATCGCAAGGCAACGCGACTCTTCGTCGCGATCAGGCCGCAGCGTATTTCGGTGAAGAGTGGTGATGGGGCACTTGTACAAAGACAGACGACCCTGCGGCGCCAGATAAAAAGATTCTTCATATCGCTGACCGGCCTTGTAAGAGTAAACTGTGCTAGCATGTACCTGCAACTTGCAAGTCGTGGTATTCGCCATCGGCGGTGATTGGAGGGTAGTATTTTTGCTATTGCATTCCTCTTACTGAGCGCATTCGTAGGAAAGAAAGAGTGGCAGTGAATAGTCATGTATTTTTCAGGTTCATGGAACCCAAAGAACAAACCCCACATCAAGCACTACCATAGGTATATATGAACGTTCTTACATTATGTGAGTATCGCTCCTCTGGAAGAAATCACTAATTGAAGCAAAATCCCGGATTTTCGACTTGATGTCGCGAAGCCGAATCTTCGTGCGACCAGCACAGGCATTGAAGACAGTACGACGCTGGGAATTGCCCGGCATGAAGCTCATCAACGTACAAGAAGTACATACCTCTAGTGGTGGTCTTGCTGGTCTAGAAAACCTTTGAACTTTTACACAGCCATGCCGACATTGTTCGGTCAAATGGAAACAGCGGTTTATATTTGCGCTCACTCTGTCATTTAACGACTGTATAATAGATGGTTATGCTCTGAACTACAAATGCCAGGATTCGCGAGAAGAAAAAATCCAGAGCCCAACAAACACATGTAAGTGTGTCGTGCTCATTCATACTCGCAGTAACATCCAGGAACAAACCAAGATTGAACGCCAAGCCCAATCTTACACAAGATGATGTGCTGAACATCGTAATGCCTTTAAACATACTGATAGCTTCCTATCGTAATAGATCCGAAAGTTTTGGCCCGGGATATCATGGATGAGAGGATATGCCGGAAGTATATCTGCACGAGCGCGAGACAGCGAAAGGAATTGACCGGGTGTTCGAGCCCAAATGCTTCAGCTATATTTGCCTTTCATGTGCTCATTATGACTGGCCACAAGTACGCGCCATGAGCTACTTGAATACTACTAACGTATGATATGCACCTTCCCTTTTGAGAATCTCCAAGAATTCATTCATCCCCAGGCAGAAATGCCTGGGCAGTACAAAGGATTGCATAGCGTGAAGTGTCCACATCGTTCGGGCTTGTGGTCAGGCAATTAATCCCTGTTATCTCTTTCCAAGTAGCATTCTTAGACTCTAGATACTGTGCTGGGGAGGATCGTTTCCTGAGGCAGTAGCTGGTGCGCGCTCGAGATGATCGAACAGTCTTACTAAGACCAAGGTTAGTATTGCTTGAACCAGTGTTGTCCATGGTACTTCATAACATAGAGACGTTCTCTTCCTGAGTATTTGCCATTTCCCCGGGCGTTGGGTAGTTTTTTTTCGTTTTCATAGGAACCATCATTTGCTCCCAGCAGCTGAAAGTTGAGGAGCGATTGCATAACGCCTAGAGTATATTTGAAGCTCCTCGAAAATTGCGACACCTGCAAAGTTCCGTTATCCCATATTCAGGAAAGGAAGTTCGGCAATGGAACTAATTCACATACACAGAAGGGAGAGTCGCTATACTTTGGTACTAATAAAATCCAATAGCTCGTATATCTCAAGCTTCAATGAAAAAATTGATCATATTATTCGTTTGCTAATTTTCTCTTTAAGGTTTTAGGTCAATTCAAAGTACTCTACCTAAGCAGGAAAATTTAGATCTATTTGAATCTTTGGTGAAGTCGGTAATTATATCAATAACGGGATGACGTGATCGAGTCTCACATCCTTCGATCATCTTCGAAATCCTAACCCCACAGTTTACGCCCGGACCCGGACCCCGCTCGCGACTCGCGATTATTGATGATACGCGGATTTAACCTTCCAGTCCGCTTCCCTATTACTTAGCTGCTCAAACGCCTTCTGAGACTTTACAACTGCGTCCTACTCAAGATCATATCAACCATAGCCATCTCGAAAGACGAATCATTTTATCAATCATCGGCAAAATGGCACGAATCCTCATCACAGGCTCTTCTGACGGCCTAGGTGCAGTCGCCGCCCGCACCCTCCTCAAAAACGGCCATCAAGTCGTCATTCACGCCCGCAACGCGCAGCGAGCTGAAGATGCGAAGACCGCCGTGCCAGGCGCCGAGACAGTTCTCATCGGTGATCTCTCCAAGATTGCAGAGATCAAGAAACTCGCCGAAGACGCCAACAAACTGGGAACATTCGACGTCGTCATCCACAATGCAGGTCTCTACCGCGGGCCGTATCGCAAGACCGATCTCGGACTGCCAAGCTTGACTGCAGTCAACGTCTTTGCGCCCTACATTCTCACGTCCTTGATACACAAGCCCAAGAGGATTGTGTACATCTCTTCCGGCCTGCACAAGAGCGGCGACACTAGCTTCACTGATCCTACGTGGCGCGAGCGCGGTGAGGGAGGCTGGAATGAGAATCAGGCGTAAGTCAACATACCCACTTCCTGGCACCCCCCTGTTTCTGGCACCACAAAAACGATGGGATCACAACCCAACCTCCTCATTACTATTAACTATTGATCCTCAACCACACCCACTACAATACAGCTGCCAGCCTCACTAGGGCATTCAGAGTCGCTGGATTCAGCCGTGATAACCTCCTTTTCACCCGCTTCGATTTGAGCCCGATGGATATCCCTGATGTTCGCGAACTTCGTATTGGGATCG